TAACTTATTTTGCTCAAGTCTGCTGGAACAGGGAATGATCCTGCTAATTTGTTCGCTTCCCTCTTCCTGCCTTTTCTCTTGGATGGTTTATTCGAGCTGCTCCGGTGTTGCCTGCAGGCACAGCCCGGGTTGGAGCTGTGTGCCGTCCCAGCGTGGGTTATGCATGGCTGACCCGGTTCGGCTCTGTGCGGAGCTGGGGCGATCGCTTCTTGAGCCCAAAGCATCTCTCACCCGGTGCGCAGGAGTGGCTGGAGGCACATCATCAGCAGTCTATTTATGTTAGGAAATTAGCTTTTGTGGGCTTCATGATTGATTTCTTTTTTTTTTTTTCTTTTTCCTCTTTGTGCTCGAGGAGCATTTGTATCTGGCACTGTGAATGACCCACAGTGTCTCAAACCCTTCTTAGCATTCTTGCGCTGTGGATGTGGCCCACGCCTTTCAGCCGAACAATACATGCTCAGACTCCCCTTTTTGTTACTGCGCTGCTAAAAACACGAGAGCGAAGCCCGCCGGCTCTTCCTGCCTGCCTGACCGTCTCACTGTCCTTTGAAATAGATGGGGAGATGTTTGCCCCTGCGGGGAGGCATTACAAGACCCCCCCCACTCCTCAGCAGGGGCTCCTGCCTGGCCTGCTTCCAGGCAACTTTTTGCTGTTGCGTGATGGTGCCCCGGTTGCATCTGAGGAAGGGGAGATGTTCTCTGTGTGTCTGAAGGAACGTCAGACCTTCACAGCTTACATTTTGGGTTTCTTCTTGGAGTGACTTGTCTTCAGCTCAGGAAATCTGAGAATGATGACTTTTTATAGCTAATCAAAGCCACAAGCCTAACATAGCCATGAGTATGGAAAGAGCTTTCCTGCCTCACGCTTTGGATGATAAAATAGTATTTCAGAAGACAAATGTTTCCAAAAGTTGCCCTGAAGGTAGCTGCAGAGACTTCAGTGGAGGTAGAGCATCTCAATCCCAGTGATTCTGGCAGCTCTTGCCAGCTTTAGCAGGTGTGTTGGGCACCTGCGGTTCTGATCACAGGTCAGTTTATCAGCATTTCACAAAGTCTACGCATAGATGCAATAGCACTTTGTTTTAAAACAGCATTGCACGTGTTGAAACTGGGTCTTTCCTGGTCCTGCTGCCTGGGAGCTCTCTGCTTGTCCCTCTGCATGGCAGCCTGCTCCGTGTTGAGTTAAGCAGGGATGGTTGTGGTGATAGTCTCAGCTATATTTGTAGAGGTAATTCCTTTATGTTTCATTTAATCTTTCTGTGGCCCTGAACTCTGCATGACTGGTGTGTGACACAGAGCAAAGGCCACTTGGAAACACACAAAGTACTTTTTAAAAAAGCATGAGCAATGACTTGCTGCTGCTGTTAAAGCACCCATTTCTGTTTCTCAGGTTGTACGGTAGCACGTGAGGAGGTAACTTTGAAGTTCATTTTTTCCCTGGCACTGTTTCGTGTGGCTCAGACCCCTTCGGAAGGCCCCTTTCTTGGTCAGGAAGTGTTATCTGATGTGCCTTCTATCAAGCCAAAACAAGCAGTCAGTACGCTTTAATTGTCGGCTTGGCTTGGGAAGCCGGGGCCGTGCAGCTGCTGCCTTGCCTTCCTGCTATTTCTTCTCCCCGCATCTTCCTTTCGGCTTGATGTTCTCGTTTCCATTGTAGTTTACGTTGCTATTTCGGTATGGCTGCGCGATGGCCCTCTGGCTTGCTCCGGCAGTGCCCTGTCTTAAAATCCACCCTCCGGCACGTTGAAGGTCTGGCCGGGCTGCAGGAGCATCCGAGGGGACTGGCTCGGTCCCCGAGCTGCGGCACAGATGTGCACGGGGGATGCCCCTCTCCAGGGCTGCGTTTTGTGTTCTTGCTTAATTGCCCTGGGATGGCTGGGCTTTTTCCAGACTGAGCAGAAAACAGCTGAGAAGAAAAGGAGGGGAAAAAAAAAATCAGTTCTCTTCCTTCTTATCAAAGGGGCTATGGAAAAGGGAAGTTTAATTTTGTGGAGCTCGGGAGACCTGTTTTTTCCTCACCTTATCAGTTTGGAAACATTTTGAGCAGAAGATGCCATAAAACTCAAGGAACCAGGAGGTGCTACCATGTTCATGCCTTTGTAAAACTGCGACCAATTTTGAGAGAAGCTAATATTGCCCTTTTTTTCTTTTTTTTTTTTTTTTTAATCTCCCCTGAAACACAGACCTGGTTGCAGGAGGGCAGGTCCTCTGGGCACGGGGAGAGATCTGCATGCAGTGGGTCAGAAGGGCAGGACAAGCATCCCTGCACCTAACCACGGCGTTGATGGATGCTGGGGCAAAGGGATGTTCCTGCTCCAACGCCGCCGTCAGATGAGCCCAGAGGCCATCGCTGTCCCCCGAGTGCTCTGGCTCAGCCCTGCTGGATAGATGACATTCTGTGCCCCTGCACCACATGTATGTTTTGTTCCATTAATGAGGGAGAAATTAAGAAACTTAATTTGACAGAGATTTAGTGCCTGGAGAGCATGATGGTGGCCCTGTGCCTGGGCAAGGCTTCATTGCAGAGCTTTTCTGGAACACAGAGGTCTGTGCCCGAGCCGCACAAGCACGCATCAGGTCAAGAATGTGAGAGTTGCTCAAGATAAAAGGTTAAATAGAAACAAGGAAAGCTTCAGGTGGAAGCAGGTATCTTAAAAGGACATGTGGAATATCTCTCTTTGGGAGAGGAGGATATCAGTTCAATGTAACGGCCAGGCAGAGGTGAGCTCTGAACGTTACCTGAAGCAAGCTTGTGAGACCCATCAGGTGCATGTGCCTCGGTCTTTTGGGGGTGCTGGGCTGCTCTTGAGGCACGGCTGTGCGAGGAGCAGCTCCCTTCTCTGCTCCCTGAGCTCCCTGCCCTCGGACCTGCCTCTTGCTGGAGCACGAGGCTCTCCGTATCCCCAAGGAACATGCAAAGCCAAGCCAGGCAGAGTGGAAGTTTGCTCGTTTGCTACATGAACTCAGCACTAAAATATGCCCTGAGACTAGAGCTGTAAGCAAGCAGATCTGAACAGCACTTGGACTAAATGCGTTTGTTACTGATCACAACCAAGAAACCCAAAGATAACAAGTTTATTATGGCTCCAGAAGTACTGAGGGTTATTGGAGGTGTGGTGATAAGCCAGGGTTCTTGGGCATCCCGTGCACCGAGCGATCCTGTGGCAGTTCTGAGAGCAGCAGGGATACCCGACCAGACACAGACTCTGATGTTTCTGTGTTCTGCCTCTTTTAGCTAGATACTATTTTTAATTCTTAGACTAGCAAGAGACTACTGAATCAACCTCAGGCTTGGCTGTGTCTTCCAAGGGAAAGTGCTTTTCTCTCTACTAACTTCTGTGTATGGATATTTATTTTGAGATGAGTTATGTAGCTGTAAGATATATTAATAGAGTGTTTTCTTGTATCCTGCAAGATGATTACGTCTTATGTGAGATTTCCCATTAAAACGGGGAACTCCAATACCCGAGGCACACAAGGTTTCTTACTGGGATACATCACAGCCTGAGCCACAACGGCAAAGCAAGCTGCTTAGGGAAAATTGTTCTGGTACTGGCAGCTGGCTTCCAGCTTGCTCTGTCTGTCCAGTAACACGAGCAGCTCTGTCTCTTGTTCTGAAATCCAGTGTTTTTAACAGATTGCTTATTGGCATTTGTGGATCCGAGCAGCGGCATTTCATAATAATTAAAAGGCACTGCCTATTGTCGTCTTAAGCAACTTGAAATGTAATTGATGTGTGTTGCAGCCACGCTCTTCTGGAGCTTTCTCAAAGGGGAAGAAATATTTCCTTTTCAAGTTGAGCAGCGCGGAGCCAAGGGATGGAGCAAGGGACAGTGAAGCAAGAGATGCTGGAGCCTTCTCTCAGCGGTGCTGTGGCCATTAAGCACCCGCTCCTTGCCAGCCCCTGGGTGCCATCCCTCTGGGTGCAGAAGTGCCCCTGCGTTATGGACAGCAAAGCACCGTAGCTATCTGTACCCTCCTGTTGACACTCTTGGCATTGCCCAGATGCTTGTAAACATAGGTTTTTACCTCTGTTACGGGGTTAGTGCCGTTAGTTTGGTAAGCCGAGGTTATGGAGTGGAAGGAGGACTGGGCTGCAGCTGTACTGGAGCACCAGGGTCCTGGGGCTGTGACAAAACTAGTGGGCTCTGCGTTTATTTGAGAGCCTGACATGACTCCTGTAAAGTAGCTGTGCTGGTCAGGATTCCTGGAAGGGCATCCAGGGAATGGGTGGTTTCTGTTGTGCATGCCAGTCGGGCTGGGTGAAAATTGAACAGAAAGCTGCTTCTCCCCCTGGTTAGGCTAGCGAAACGCGAGTGTGTCATTATGGTTTATGCCTAGAGAAAGAATTAGCCAGGGGTCTGTAAGACACAAGTCTCCAGTGATTATAGCCAGCTGCTAACAAATAAATACCAAGCCACCTGAAAGACTTTCTTGTTCAGTAGTAGCTCAGTAACTCACGAGTCACTCTGAAAATCAAACCGTGGCAGCTGTACAGTAAGTGGAGAAGCATTTTAATTTGACAGCTAATGCCTTTGTCACATCTATATTCCAGCGGTGGCATGCAGCGTTTTAATTGTAAAGAAGTGAACAGGCGTTAGTCGATATGATGCTTTTTATCTAGTCCTGTCCCAGGGAATACGGACTTTGTACAGCAACAGGCTGCTTCGCTTTGTGGTTGCCTTCGGAGCATGCGGGAGGAAGCAAACAAACAAACAAGGCTGGAGGAGGGAAATGATTAGACGAGCCTCAGCTGGTTTTTTCCCCCTCTTGAATGGCCCTCTTTCATCAGGATATGTTAGGACAAGTGCTTTTTCAAGCCAGGATATCAGTGGAAGACACAGTGTTCTGTAAAAGTCATCCAGTTCCTGGGTAGCATCAACAGACGCGATTTCTCTGCTCCGCACAGAATATACGGTCAACCTTTTCTTTTCCTTCTTTTCTTTTTTAATGGGTTTAGAAGCGAAAGGATGTGAGTTTTACAGCTAGTTATGAATCTTTTCGAATTTACTGACTTCTGTCTGACTCTTGGGCCAGCACAATGCTTCTGCTGTTCAAAGAAAACCAGTCCAAATTAGTATGTATAAGCCACTCGTTTTTATGCTGCTAACAAATGCTGCTTACTAGGGCATTTATCACTGCTGCCGAGGGTCAAAAGTTGGGGATGTTCTTTAACGATAGGATTTTTCTGTTCTTTAGGAGATCTTTTAAAACGACTGGAGTTTTAGTTGTTTACTGGAACTGCAAGATTTAAAAGGGATTTTTTAAACCGTGTTGGAGTATTGTGCCTTGCCTTTTTCTTACTTTTATTTTGTTAGCTGTCTTTTAGGGCGGTTGTATGAAGTGACTGAGAGCAAAGAGTGTTCCTAGAGCGGAGATGAGGGACGGTGTTGGGTAATGTTGCTTTAAAATAGGAGTTTTTTGCAAAGAGGCGCTTGAATGCGTTACCTCTGTATGGCACCGTGCTGGTCGTATGGAAATGGGAGCGTATGTGGAAATGGGGGAGCGCGGGTAGTGGTGGGGAGGTACGGGCAGTCCGACTCACGGCACGCTGCGCCGTGTAAAGGTAGCGTACGGTTTAGGAAACAAACATTGAAATTAAAAAAGAAGCCTTGCTCTCAACAGGTTCTTTGACTTTGCTTTCCGATTCATTTCCACGCAGATGAATACACGGTGACAAAAATTTTGCTATGTGGGCTGTCCTTTTCCTGCAATTGCTTTCTGCTCCTGCAGCGCAGGTTTCTCGTTTGCCTGCAACTGGGAATATTCTGCTTTATTGTGAAAGATTTCCTGACTGCAGAGAGGAGACCATCAGGCGAGATGAACTGTCAGAGCAGGAGTTACCGATGCCTTTGGGAAGGAACTCGTGTCTCTTCTGAGGTTTTTCTTCTGCTGTAGAAATCCCAGTCAGTACTTTATTAGGGATAAAAGAATATCCTTTGGGATATTTTTTCCACTTTCCCAAAGAAATACTTCCCGAAGTTCTTGGGACAGGAATACTGTGAATTATCTCCTCGTGCATTATCTAACCATTCCCTTCCTCTTGCTGAAAAAACAGATGAGTGTGCGTGAAGCTGGTATCTAGCTGAATATCCTATACATTGTGTTGGTGTCACTGCTTTTGTGTAACTTCTGGCCTTTTTTTAATGCTTTCCTTTGAAATCTGGTGTGCAAAGGAAACAAGACTCTTCCTGGCTCACTTACGGAATGAACCAAATTCCCCTTTGCAGAAATTCTTGCCTTTGGCGTGTGTGCCAGGCAGAGCAGGGCCGGTGTTTCGGATCACAAGCAAACTCTGCGCGGCTCCTGTTCAGACACAACTTGCTAGCGAAGTGAGTGGTGAGTGCTGGAATATTGTGGGAGCGTAAATGGAGAAAAGCTTGTTTTAATTAGAGTGCAGTTGTCCTGCTGGCGTTTTATTGATCTGATGTATGACTCGTGGAGCCTGGAACTTAGGCAAAAATTTTAGTTCACTTTTTAAAAGCAGCTGAAATCTGAAATTTAAACTTGATCCAGATTTTTTTTCTGGGTATTTTGCACCTTGAAGAATCAGTTGAAAAATGAGGAAGCTTTGCTTGGAAACCTTTGCTGGGAGCTTCTCCCTCAGAGAAGAGAAAAGCTGAGCTTGCAGCGAAAGCTGAAAAGACATTAAATTTGTGTCTATCTTCGCAAAAACACCAAGGTAGAATGGAGCATTAGTGCTCACTTCTGCCCAAAGGCAAAGACCCCAGATAAAGTACAGGAGAGATGACGGCTGGGAATAGTAACTCCTGTGGGATCATTTTCTGTAGCATAAGTGACTCCCGTGTAGCACAATCTCATAATGGAGCAGTTATATTTAGTAGATAGCAGACAGTAATTAATGATGATCTATGTTTGGAAGTGTAGGACGGCAGAAAATTGGGCTTTGTAACAAGGAATGTCTCTTGTGATGTTTTGAGCGGTGTAGGAAATGCAGCGTAAGCAGTTACTGTGGCAACTAAAAGGTAGCTTAGTAGATGTTGATTTTCAGCCTTGTGGGAAATGCCAACTTTACCGCTTAGGTCCAAGTCTGTTTCTAAAAGGTTCATGAGTGCATTATGGTAATATGTAATTAGGCTTGTGCTGGTGCTTACTGTAACTGCTGATTTTGTTCAGGCTTCTCTTTAGTTGTGTTCTGGGGCCCGCGTGTCATTTGACTCTGTGGAAATATCATTATGTGTTTGCACATACTGTGACCTGCCGCCTTATCAGTAGTATTTTCCAGGGCAGCTGTATCTAGCCAGAGCAAAGCAAAATCTTTGCTATTGTGTCAGTTGTTTTTTCCCCCTGAGGTTTCAGTGCAGTTTCCTTTCTCTTGTGATGTGCGGGTTTTGTCTGCCCTCCCTTCCTCTTTAAATCTACAGACAGTTTATGGTTGCATGTTCTTGTTTTTGCATTCCAAAGAAAGCTCAAGAACTGGAATTAGTAGGAACTGATTGACTCGGAACCTGATCTTTAGTCATTTTACAGGTCTAAACCTGTAAAAAGTCCTACCCTCTACTGTTCTTAAGTTACAGAATTTGACAATCAAATGATAAAGTAATTTCCAACCCATGACAGCTCATGCAAGTATCTCCTGCAATGGCCAAGTAATAAAATGTTGGTGGAAGATGACACGTGAATAATCCATGAATAATCCTGGAGCCATGCCATGCAAGTGGCAGGATCGAACTTTGGGAACAGTTTCTAATGGCAAAATCCTACTACGTTTTAGTGAGGGGAAGCCCTTCCTTCCCTGGGCGCACAGACCTGAGCACGCATTTTGCTGATATTTCCTTTCAGTTGACTTCCTCTGTCATTTGTTTTCCAGCCTAAGCGAGAGCTTTTTCATGGTGAAAGGCGCAGCCCTTTTCTTACAACAAGGAAACAGCTCCCAGGGCCAGCGAAGTCTCCAGCATCCTCACAAACATGCAGGTAGTGGATTCAATCACCTACTGAAATTCTTTTTGCCTCTTGCTTTGCTGCTCATCCCGTCCATGCGTACAGGCTAATAGCCCGCCTGGGTGGGTGGATGATTCCTCTAATTGTCGCAGTGATCCTTGTACAACCTGCTGAGGAAAACCAGGTTTGTCAGCCCACTTGATTCAAATGGGAACGTATGATTATTGAGTCTTTGTTTAAACCTTTGTCGTTATCTCAGAACTGTAACTGGAGTAGGAATTTATTCTCTGCAGACATTATGGCATTCAGCATGGCATTCTTTAGGCAGGGAAGCCTGCTGAGCCAGAAGGTCTGTGCTGAATATGTATCCCTGTTTTCCGCAGCCGCAGATGAAGAGATGTCGCTGGTGCTTCAGTGATTTGATCTTTGCCTTCCCCTTTGGCCTGTGGGGAGGAAAATTGGATGGGCTGAGTCACAGGGCTGTAGCACCTCTTCTGTAGTTATTGAGGTTCTGATTCAGCATGGTGGGGACATTTCTCCGAGTGTTCTGTCAGCCTCCAATAATCTGAAGCTTGGGGCTTTCAGTCCAGCTGACAGCATTTGTTCTTTCAAAACTACCTGTTGCTGGTTTTGTTTGATGTTGCTTGTAAGAGTGAGGAACATTTTAACAGGATTTGGGGCTCTGGATAGACGTATGTTTCTTAGGTCCTTATATCCCCTTTCCTGGTTTCAGGAAAATCCCCTTTTCAGTTAACTCATCACAATCTGGCCTGTAAGAGTTGATCATGGTTTAAGAATAGACTGTCCTTCTTCCCCCAGTTCCCTCCAGTGTACCAAACTGGTGGGAAGAAGCGGTAGGGAGCTGTATGGTGAACGTACATAAGGACTGCTAAGCCGATAGGGGGGCTCAGGAAAGTGGATTCTACAGACCCAGTGTTTTTATGCCTTCTGTCTTTGACAGTTTTGGAATAAGTGATTACTGGGAAAGAAGAAATAAGATCATCGGGGCATTTTGAGAGCAGGAGCATGTGGGAAAGGCACAGTGTGGTACTGTGTGTCTGCTGCTTAGTAAACACTCCGAGCACAAAGAGGGTGTTTGAATGCCAAGCTTGGCTTTGGGTCTCTTTCATTGTCAGCAATTTTATATGCCCAGCAAACATCCTACGGAAGGAATTTTATCTTGTATGGAAAGTTATGAGTGCATTACCAAGTTATTAGATGTGAACTTGTTTTGTTTTCTTGTAGATTCCTTGTTCCTCTTGCTTGCTTTCACCAAACAAATGTACCCACCGCTGTAGAGCCTAAGGGACTTGTTGCATGAGCAGCACTTTGTTTGAGACAGAAGGGATCCATCGCCCAAACCGGGCCACTCCTACAGCCCTTCCTCCTCAGAAGTTTCTCGTGTTCAGATACGCCCTCCATAAGGCCAGTGGGGCTGATCCCACGATGCTATATGTGTTTCACAAGTCCCAAGCTTTTCTGTTCTCCTTTGTTCCTTTTTTTTTTTAATCAGAGTTGTTCCTCCTGCCTCTTCCTCCCTTGTCCTCAGTGCCTGTATTTTTGTGTCTTCTCTAAGATGCTGTAACAGGAAAAGTATCATCATTTTTTCTAGTCGCAGGTGGTCTCGATATATTTGGTAGCTTCCAAATACCGTAAGGTCGAGTTCTCACACAGCCAGATAACGCTCATCCAAGAAGCTCACTTCTGTTAGTATTGTCTGGGACAGCAAAGTTAGTTGGCCTCCCTTAAATGGTATTTTTTTAACTGAGAAACTTCCAGTTTCATTAAAGGTCAAGACTCTGCCCATTCTTAGTGCAACAAGTGAGACACCCTTTCTGATTATTTCTCTGCAGGTGATTTGCCCCAGCACCTCCAGGTGATGATCAACCTCCTTCGCTGTGAGGATAGGATCAAACTGGTAAGAAAAGATGCGTTTTTCTGCTCTCCTTTCTGTTGGACGCATTTGAAACAGACCTGTAGAGGTTCATGAAAAGCATTGGCAAATCCTAGGTTTCGGAGTCAGCTTAACTCTGTGCTGGTTGCCAGCCCTACTGTGTTTTCCTGTCCGTTCCTTTTGCCCTGGTCCTTACATCCAGGTGATGAGTTGGGTCAGGAGACTGATCTGTCTGAAGTGTGTTTGTTTTCTTAGATTTAATTTTCTAGTCAGGTGGCAAACACTAGTACAGGAGAAGAGACAAGGACCTTGCTGATGCTGGTGGAGACTCTTAAGTCAGTCTTGAAATTGCATCTGCATGGGGCTGGGCTTTCTTCTAAAGAAATCTGTAGAGGCTATAAAAGTCACTGCAGAAAAATCTATGTGAGTTATCCCCTCCAGCATGGCTAACATATTTCAGTGAAGGCTTGTGAGTGGAAGAATCCTCTGAGCCTGCCTCTGTTTTCAGTTCAGTGCATGACCAATGTTTTTACCAACTTTCTAGTTGAATCTCTTTAGAACAAATCTTCAGGTTACATTTTGTAGTATTTCTCCAAACTGGGTCAGATGATCTAGGCTAATCTTCTCCCCACCCGATGCCAAGTCAAAGTGGCAACTAGCCTTGCTGGAAGATGGACCGTCTCTCCCTATGTCTTTCATACTGCAGCTAAATAAAGCTTTTGAGCGCAATTACACCTTAAAAAGAAAAAATTTGGCAGCAATGGAAGTAATAATTGTCCAAAAGCTAGTTTGCAGAGCTTGATGACCTTTTTCTAGGCTGTCCGTTTGGAAAGTGTATGGACAGACCGAGTCCGGTACATGGTGGTTGTATACAGCAGCGGACGACAGGACACAGAAGAAAATATTCTGCTGGGTGTGGATTTCTCCAGCAAGGAGAGGTATGTCTAAGGCAAGGCTGGGCTTGGAAGTCAGGCAGACTGGGTTCTCTGGAAAGCCTGTCAACGCCAAACTGTCCCCAAGCAGTTGTATCTGCAAATTCTAGCAAGAGAAAGGACATGTGTTGAGTTTTCTGACCAGTTATGAGAGTGAGAGGGTGATTTTTTGTTCCAGAAAGTTTTCAGTCTCTTTGGAATCTCAGGGCTGTCTGGGCAGTTGTAGGCAAAGCATTCATATGTAATCCATCTGTAGGGCCGCAGCATCTACCTCATCTGTGGTAGTTTGCTCTCTGCTCACTACAAAATGCTCTTGCAGACACATTTGCAAAATGGAACTTACTCTGTCCACCAGACTTCAAGTCTGTTCATGGTGTGATGCAATGGAGCTGGTTTTTGGGGAGGTAGCTTAGTTGCCAAATAACATCAAAAAACAATACTGCAAAAGTACCTCCAAAATCAACAAACAAATGTGTCAGTAATGAGCTGTTGCTTTTGTCTAACTGATAAGAGCACATAATATTTTGAAAGGCAAATAAAATATTTTGTTACCGCAGACCCTCTCACATTATTCCAGTTCTAGGTGAGTAAATCAAGGCAGAAAAGCTCTTGGCTCGGAGAGACAGGGCTGATTTGGCAGAGCTGGAGTTAGACGTCAGAGCTTCCAGACTGTTATTTCTGTTCTCTGATGTAGCAGGCTGCCATGTTGTGCTGGTGCGGCCAGTGTGACTTTTGTTTTCTTTTTGGAAAACCTTAGTGGTTGTTTCCATTGCTATAAGCGGAAGGGGGGAGCTTTTGCCCTGCAGTGAGACCTATAGGGAAACTCCTAGCTGTGCCTTCCTAATAAGATTATTGTCATTGACTTTGATGCCGCCCTTTATATCTGCTGTTAAATTACTGCCATTAGTGTTTCGGAAGAAACTCTAAAGTAGCATTTCCTGATGACACACTTAGTGTGCAACAGCAGTGGATGTTTGCTATGTCATCCTCAAATCTGAAACAACTTTGCCATAATTTGCTCCTGGTGATTATTGATGTGAGACAAGAGGAAAGATGGAAAAGTTACAATAAATCCATCCTAACTGTAAGGTTATCTGCCATTTCAGTTACTGCCTGCCCTGAAAGCCAAAGTTTTTGTTAATTAAGGGTAAGTTGCATGCATAAAGAAGTCGGTTGGCATTAGCCACTTCATTGAGTGACTCCGTGGCTCTGTGTTGGGGCTGAAATGTCACTGCTAAGCTGTAAGTGTTCTGACTGCTGACAGTTTGACTAGTCGGGCCCTTTTGTGGGTTTTAGTCCTTTTACATGTGTTTAATAAAAAACATTTTTTTCTCGCAAAGCTCTGAAGTGCAAGTTGTCCACATGTGTGTTCAAACTGGCCTGTTAAGTCCTTTGATCCACTGTAGAAAGCGGCTGAAGGCTTAGAAAAGAAAGGAAAAAAAAAAAAACAAAACCCTTGAGTTCTTTGCTAACTGGCTGTTGCTGTATGCATCCCAATTTCCTTTAAAACTTTTACTATCTCAGTAACTTCATTATTTACTAATTGAAAGTTACTGGCCCTCCATTATAGTACAGTTTTCTTGCCAGATTGCATCTCTGAAATGAAAGAGTTCTTTCAGGTTAGGTAAACTCGTAAAATCCGTTTTTGTCTCTTCTACTGGCCAGAGTGATGAAGTGAAAATCGAACCTGCAGTCCTTTGAAAGGCCCCTTGGGTCCCCTTTGGAAAGGGCAGGTGGCTGCTCTGCCACCTACCAAGGCTGGCTTTCTGCCTCGCTCCAGTGAGCTGAATCTCTGCAGCCAGATCGCTGAGATGCACTTTTATGTCCTGTTAGGGAACAGCCTTCCACTGAGCTTATGAGGGTGAGACAGCAGGAAAGAGGACGGGACAGATACTGCAGTGCTTTCTGGCAGGCTCTGGAGGGGGAGAGAAGAGCTCGTAATCTTGATTCTTGCTTGTGTGAGGTTTCTCCAGCCATGTGGAGCAATCGGCATGCTAATATCAGAGTAGACCTTTAGACTTCAGGTGCCAGTCTCCTTGTGTGTTAGGCATTTGATGGCCTAAAATGTTACTAGGAATTACTAGAGTGAGACTTGAGTATTTTAAAAATTAAAGAGTATTAATAATTGAGGATACTGGCGTGACCGCATTGTGGCCTATATTTAACATCCTGTATAACAATCTCTCTTCCAGTAAAAGCTGCACTATAGGAATGGTTCTGCGTCTGTGGAGTGATACTAAAATCCATCTTGATGGTGATGGGTAAGAAACCACATTAAAAGGATAAATGTGAATGTCCTTCCCTACTTGGGGGCTGCTCTAGGAGAGATTCTCCGTCACCTTGCAAATGAAGTTCCAATTTTGGATTCATGGATGCAGTCCTCTTATTCAGACAGTGAGTTTTTGTCTTGCTGCCCTCAAAGTGCTCGGTGGAACCTGTGATAGCCAGTGAATGTTCTCTGAAATCCCACTCGAGGGGTGGAACTCCCGTTCCTGGCCACCTACGCCGGGAAGGGTGTCCGCTTGCCATTCTTACTTGGGAGGATGTTGCAAAATCGGTGATATAAATTCTCATCCCCGATTCTTTTTGCCTGTGAGTGCCCCTATAGCTGCCTGGCAGTAGCTGTTTGTAGAGTGCAGCTTGTGATGCAGAGAAGAGCAGTTTCTGATTGTTTTGGTTTTTTCCTCTCTCTGTTAGTGGCTTCAGCGTGAGCACTGCAGGAAGAATGCACATCTTCAAGCCAGTGTCGGTGCAAGCCATGTGGTATGTGTGTTAATTAGCTTTATTGAGAAAGAGACTGTCATTTCTGTGAATAAATTAAAAACAAAATAAGCAAACTGCATTTTAACATTCTCCATAATTGGCATTTAGTGAACTGCAGCAGAGATGCTGCCTTCTCTGCGTCAGCAGGTAGCAGTACTGTAAAGGGACTGTGAGAATACCGATTTGAAAACAGGATCTTCTGCCTCTCTTCAGAGCAGCTGTGTGCCCTTCAATATAAGGGAAGTGGCACTAGTGAGATGAATAAATACGAAAGATCAACTTGAATTCATCAGGCTGCAAACCCAGTCTTTCCTCTCTCTGCATATTTTTTCTAACCGGCTGAAGGAGGAGTCTCGGGACCCGTTGCCAATCTGATGGCATTCCCCGTGTTCTGCCTTGTTACTGGGGCCAGCCTGGGGTTCTGCCACATGGAAACTTTCCGTGCCGCCCCGGGTGCTTGTTCACCTTTCAGCTCCTGTCACTCCTCCCGTGTGCAGGGATTCCAGAACACTGAGGCAGAGGTGGCTGAATCAGCAGCAGCTGTGCCAGCAAATTCCTCTTTGAAGAGGCTGCTACCCAGCCCTGCACAGAACAAATGGATCTCTTTTGGTCTGGGCAGTTTTCTGGCTCCTGTTGGAGCCTCGAGAGATCCCTGTCCTCACAGCATCTGATAGCGAAAAGATACAGATGTAGAGAAGGATGTCGTGCTAGGGATGATTTGGTACAGAAACGAACGAAACTCTTGTTCCTGTCATTTTTGAACTCGGCCCCTCCTGTTGGCAATCTTAGATGTGGTTAATGTATTCAGTGCA